TGGAATGGATGGGCTCTAAGGTCTCTTGCAACCTAACCCATTGTATGACTGTCTCCATCCTGTCCTCCTCCACCTCTCTGCTTGTCCGGGGCTGATAGCGTCATGCCTCTCCTTGCAGGTACCTGGATGGAAGTGGCTTATCCTTAGTTTCTCAGCCCCTTGTGGGGATGAGAGCTTTATGCTGGGGCTGTAGAGCTGGTGGATTACATCTGTTTCTCCCGCTGTGTCTTTCCCTGGGTGTTCCCCCGCCACAGCATGTCCCAATGCGATCCTGTGTCCTCAGAGCGTTTCTCACCCACGCCCCCGCTAGCCATTTTTGGGAGATTTGGATGCTGGTGGTGGTGCAGGCGGCTGCTGTGGGAGGCAGGCGATATATTTAGCTATTAGTCATCTGAGATGTCTGTGTGTACCCAGGTGCAGTGCTAGGGTTTTCACATTGCTGTGTGTTTTTTTTCAGTTTTCTTTGCATGAGATTCATCTGCTCCGTTGGTGGCTATGGGAGTAGAAACACAAATCTGGAACAAGACAGGGTGATGGGGTGCGTCAGCATCTCTGGTCTGTGCTCGCATCAGAGGCCCCTCTCCCCATCCTGTGTCCAGGAGGGGCTGATGTCCCCCACAAGGCTGAGCTGGGGGTTCAGGCTTGGGGTCAAGTCAGGAACCTGTGCAGGGGTCAAGTGGTTTCCAGGGAAGCATCATGATGCTATGGCCAGTAAAGGCATGGATAGACAGTGCATCTTGGGTGATACAGTAAAGCTGGATGTTACCGCGGGGTGGCTGAGCCATCTGACCATCCTTGCCTGCATCCAGGGGACATGCTACGTCTGCGTACGGTGCTGGAAGCCATCCAGAAGAACATCCACTCCTCCTCCTTGATCTTCAAGCTGGCCCAGGACGCATTCAAGATTGCCACACCAGCCGACAGCAACTCAGACACAACACTCCTCAATGTTGCGCTGGAGCTGGGGCTCCAGGTATAGGATTGCACGCGTGATGCTGGTGGCCCTTTTGCCCTACTAACTCTGGTGATGGTGTTCTACCAAGCGCATGGTCGCCCATGGCACGCAGGGGTCTCGTGGAAGGGGTACATTCATCATTGCGTGGCCTAGAGAGGTAGAGCTCAGCCTCTGCTGAGGTTTGGGGGAAGTTTTGGGTGAGACAGCACTTGAAAGCCTCGCGGGGAGTCGATAGTGAGCAGGGTCATGGAGAATTTGGGGGAGCACTGTGGTGTTAAGTGGCCTCAGTGGATCCCCATAGGGTAGAGGGTCACCCTGTGTTTGTCTCGCAGGTGATGCGCATGACCCTGTCCACCCTCAACTGGCGGCGGCGGGAGATGGTGAGGTGGCTGGTGACATGTGCTACGGAAGTGGGTGAGTGTCTGGCCCACATGTGGTGGAAGAAGAACGGGCACAGGGATCCCTGAAGCCACTTGTGGCCCTGGGTTTAAGTTTCTGAGCTCTCCTGACCCCTGTGTCTCTCGCAGGAGTGAGAGCTCTGGTGAGCATCCTGCAGAGCTGGTACTCGCTGTTCACCCCCACGGAAGCCACCAGCATCGTGGCGGCCACGGTGATGTCCCACAACACCATCCTGCGCCTGAGCCTGGACTACCCGCAGCGGGAGGAGCTGGCCAGCTGCGCCCGCACGCTGGCCCTGCAGTGTGCCATGAAGGACCCGCAGAACTGCGCCCTGTCCGCCCTCACCCTCTGCGAGAAGGACCACATTGCCTTCGAGACAGCCTACCAGATCGTCATCGACGCCGCCTCCACTGGCATGACCTACACCCAGCTCTTCACCATCGCCCGCTACATGGAGCACCGGGGCTACCCGCTGCGGGCCTTCAAGCTGGCCTCGCTGGCCATGACGCACCTCAACCTGGCCTACAACCAGGACACGCACCCAGCCATCAACGACGTGCTCTGGGCCTGCGCCTTGAGCCACTCCCTGGGCAAAAACGAGCTGGCGGCCATCATCCCACTGGTGGTGAAGAGCGTGCACTGTGCCACGGTGCTGTCGGACATCCTCCGCCGCTGCACCATGACGGCCCCAGGGCTGGCCGGCATCCCCGGCCGCAGGAACTCGGGCAAGCTGATGTCCACCGACAAAGCACCCCTGCGGCAGCTGCTGGACGCCACGATAAGCGCCTACATCAACACCACCCACTCGCGGCTCACCCACATCAGCCCGCGGCACTACGGGGAGTTCATCGAGTTCCTCAGCAAGGCCAGGGAGACCTTCCTCCTGGCGCAGGACGGGCACATACAGTTCGCCCAGTTCATTGACAATCTCAAACAAATCTACAAAGGCAAGAAAAAACTGATGCTGCTGGTGCGGGAGCGGTTTGGGTGAGCCAGTGGTTTGGGCAGGGTCCGGCCGCAGCACGGGGACTCGGGAGAGAAGAAGGAAGGAGAGCGGAGAAGACCTTCCCCCCATCGGCAGAGGCTGCTCCGTTCCGTTTTTCTGTTTCTTTTTTATTTTATTTTATTTTATTTTATTTTTAATGTTATTTTCTTTCTCGGATTTAACCATTTCACACGCTGAGAGGATCCAGAGATTCTTTGGGCACAAACCAAAAGGCAACCAGGAAAAAGGATGGTTTGCTCAGCCCCTGCCCTCCCTTGCCAATACCAAAAGCTAACCTGGAAATCTAATACCTCTTTCCTGAAGAAAGCGGTCGCTGGAGGGATCGGAAGGTTGCAAAGTGCAAAAATCTTTATAATTATGTTGGGGGAAAAAAAAAATGAAAAAAAAAAAAAAAAAGGAAGGGGAAAAAAAAAAAAAAAAGAAAAGAAAGAAAGAGGGAAAGAAAATGAAAGAGAAGGATGAAAGAGACAAAGAGCAAAGGAACCTGCAACACTAGAACCTCATGCGTCACCAAAAGCGATGGCTTTGCAGAGCGCTTCTCCCGCCCGCCCGAGACATGCAAACTCCTCTATTTGTGAAGATACTTCAATAAAAACAAGTTAAAGTAACTGTTCTCAGGGATTGCTTACTAAAAGTAACACACACACAAAAAAAAAAGAAAAAAAAAGAAAAAAAAAAAAGCATTTATGATACTGTAAATACTATAGTATATGTGTCAATTATTAAATTGTAAAGTTATAATTATTTATAATTCTGTCTTTTATTTGGGGGATACTTGAAATTGTCGTGGGCTGGGGGGATTATTTTTATTATTGCTATTATTATTATTATTATTATTATTATAACTATTATTTAAAAACAAACAAACAAAAACCACCACAACCACAGACAAAAAGAGGAGGAAGCACGCAAACATTCTCAGGTTTCCACGGCATCGTCGGCAGCAAGAAGGGTGTGGGGGGAGGCGGATGTCCGCACTCAGCTGGGAGCACCGGGACGGACGGACGGACGGACGGATGGAGGGAGGAGCAGCAGCCTAGCGCTTGAGGACAGCGAAGGAAAGGATGAAGGACTCTGCTGGGATGTGCACAGACTCCGGCTCCCGAGTGGCAGAGGACGGCGCGGGAGCGACGCGGGCACCCAGTGGACATCGCCCAGCTCTTCGCCTGTGCCCCACAGGCGCCCGTGTGTGAGTGCGAGGTGCGTGGGTGCGTGCATGCCTTCATCTTGGGGGGGAATGGGGCTGCCTGGGGGCGGCTGGACTCTCCCATCCCGTCCCACTGGGAAGGCAGGGATGGATGCTCGCCCCGAGCCTGCAGCGGAGCCTTCGGCCCCCGGCCGGCAGCTCTGAGATTTTGCTTTGTTATTTTTCCGACGGGTTGGGAGGGCTGGGAGGGCCGGGGCCAGTCTGGACAGTGACTTGTAGTTAGGAACATGGGCTAGTTATCTGCTGTCTGGTTTGACTTTAATTTTTGGAAAGTGACTTTTGTCTGCGCTCCGGCCAGGAAACCAATTGTACTCAGTATCTGTCGCCACCGAAATAGCATTCTTCAACCAGTCTGTTTTTCTTCTTTTTTTTTTTGTTTTGTTTTGTTTGTGTGCGTGTGTGTATGTGTGTGTGCGACCTCTTCATCTGATGTTTAATAATAAAAGGGATGAACATTATCATGCGTATGTACCGTGTTTCTCTGAAGCCAGAGGGATCTCCAGACAGCCTCATGTTGCGTGCAATGCAAGCATGGCACATCCCCGGTGTATGCAGCATCTCAAACCCCCCTGTGGTACCCAGCACCCTAAGAAGGCTCACAGAGAATCATGTCCAATCCAGGATGTGATTCCTCACTGTGCTCAATCCACTCTACAGCTGCCCTGTGTGCTGTGGGATGTGTTGTAACCCCAGGCTCAGGATACTGCGAACACCCAGCTTTGCTTTTTGCAGTGGGTGCTGAGCCCCAGGCACAACTGTTCGTGGGGAACAGAGGAGATGAGATGTGTGGCTGGGGGATGGTCCCAGAAAGGCTATGTGATTGCCTTGCTAACACTACGCTATCAACTGCTATTGCAGCCAGCATGGCAGCATCTGGTGGTGCTGGTGCCTGGAGGGTGCTGGCTGTCTCCAGGTGAGTCCTGCCAGGTGGACCACCAACTTCATAACAACCTGAATCACGGTCATGCTGCCAATTTCCACCTGAGCATTGGTTGTTGAGGGCTTTGGCAGTGCTCATGCTGAGCCCAGGGTGGCATGGGATATAAGCCCTGAGCTCCCCATGAAAGTGCCAGCTTTAGGCACCCCTTCTCCCCTGGCAGGGCTGAGTGCATCCCTAGTGCCAGGAGATGGCCATTGCACTCTGAGCACATCCCCTCTTGCAGGTACATAGCATAACAATGCATAGACTGCAAAGGAACAGCGACCCTGCTTCCCTGGTATCCCTGCTTCCCCATCAGTGTCCCCTCACCAGCAGGATGGGGATCAGGGTCTCCTTGACCTCACATGCTAATCTTTTCCAAGGCCGATTCCCTACTCCCAGCTAGAGCCATGCAGGTGCTGTGGAGAAGGTGCTAGTTTAATGCTGCATCACAACCTGGAGCAAGCTACCCTGTGACAAAAACATATTCAGGGTAGTTGTGCACAACCTCAAGTCCTGTCCCCAGGCTCAGCCATGTTTATTGATGTGGCGGGAATGAGCATGCACAGCCTCCACAAAGGCACCCACGTGCTCAGGGTTCATGTCTGGGTAGAGGCCGTGACCCAGGTTGGCAATGTAGCGTTGGGTTCCAAAGCTCTCCAGCATTTTCTTCACCAGCTCGCCAATCTTCTCCTGTAGATGTCACAGGAGACCATGTATCAGTCTCAGCAGGTTGATACACCTGTCCCCACCAGTCCTGCCCCCATCAGCCTGGGACATGAGCCAACGTCACAAGAGGGGAAATGGGGGCAGGAGGCCCATGGCTCACCTTGGGTGCATAGAGAGCACAGGGATCCAGGTTTCCTTGCAGGGTGACACCTTTCCCTACCTGTGCACTGGAGCGGGGAGGAAACAGGTGAGTTGCTGTGTGTAATGCAGAGATCAGGGGCAACTGTAGGACCCCTAGTGCAGCTCCTGGCTGCTGTGAGCTTCACACAGCACTGGAGCCTGGCATCCCCTCCTCTGCACCAGAAAATTCCAGGCCTGCGATGCAGCAGCCAGACAAAGTGAGAGTGCTGTGCCAGACTCTTACCGAGCTTCCTGGGGCTGGATGGTCCAGTCAAGACCGACAACCTCGTAGCCAGCTTGTGCCAAATCACGCAGTGCGTAGTGTGCATCCTTCGCAAAGACAATCTGGGGAAGGAGGACATGGGCAGTAACTCCAGGGGATGGAATCCAGATGCCAAGGACAATGAGAGACACAGGTACAGACACTGTCACACTGCTACCTTGGTAGCAGCCCTTTGTACCCTCTCCCAGCCTCCCCCTCAGCCATAATCCTCCATGCACTCCCAGGAAACAGGGACATCCCAGGCAGCTTGGATTTACCATGGGCACCAGTGGCAGTGCCTCTGCTTTCAGCTTGCTCTTAACATCCCGGGCGATGTCTCGGATGTATGGCAGGGCGAACTCCTGAAACTGTTCTGGGCCTAAATGCCCTGCATGGGACTCAAACAGTTGGAGCGCCTGTTGGATAAAAAGGGCCAGGTGAGCTGCAGGTACCATGCAGCGCTTCGGTCCCTCATCCCACAAGCTGGACCCCTCTGCTTCTTGTCCCCAGTCCCTGCCCTCCTGCTAGGACCTGTCCCCATGCCCCGGGACACACCTGCGCTCCAGCAGCCACCTGCCCCACGAGGTAGTCAGTGACAACATCAGTCAGCAGCCGTAGCAGTCGGTGGCTTGCTTCAGGGTGACGGTACAGCCAGCTTTTGGCCTTTGCCATTGTAGCAGAGCCACCCCCTTCAACCATGTAGGACATAAGCGTCCACTGCAGGAAGGAGAGGAGCAGGGTGAGATGGAAAACATGTGAAGGGTTGGTTGTGGGATCGGTGCTGAAGAAGGACTTGGGTGCACGAGCAGCAGCGCTACACGTTCCCTGCCTACAAGCTGGTCCTTGCAGCTCTGGAGGTGCCAAGACCAGCATTACTCCAGAGGGAAGAGCAGGAAAGCCCACTTTGCAGACCCATATCACTTACAGGTGCCCCGGAGAAGCCGATGAGGGGCACCTTGCCCTCCAGGCTGTGCCGTGTCAGTGTGATAGCCTGGAAGACGTAACCCAGTTCTGCAGTCACGTCCACTTTCTGCCGTAGTTTCAGTAGATCCTCCACCTCCTTCAGGGGCTCTGGAAACATGGGTCCTTTGCCGGGGACCATGACAACCTCCATGCCCAGTGCCTGGGGACAAGGTAGAATGGAAGAGGCAGGAATATGGCAGTTCTGGATCCAGCCCCATACCCAGTCATTGCTCCCCACCACTGACTGTGACTCACCTGGGGCACCACCAAGATGTCAGAGAAAATGATAGCAGCATCCAGGGGGAATCGTCTGAGTGGCTATGGATAGTGGAGAGAAAAATGTAGAGTGGGTGAGGGTTTGAGTCCCTCTCCCTGTGAAGGCTGGGCACACACGTGGGGTGCAGTGGGATCCCCAGGGTGGGGCAGGGCCCTATCTGATGCTGGGGGTCACTCCGTGGATCAACTTGGGGACCTTGAGTCAGGTTTTGGGCTGCACAACTTACTGAGTCACTTGAGGGTAAGGGCCAGGCCTAAAGTTTCTTCCACCTCTATCCCAAGAGAGGAAATGGGACACAGCCCCTCCAGAGAACAATCACCTGCAACGTCAGCTCACAGCACAGTTTGGGACTCCGGCAAGTGTCAAAGAAATCCTGAGTGGCCCGGGTCTCCCGAAACTCTGCAAGAAACCAGCCATGGTGACAAGCAGTGTGCTGGCTTTCCATTGCCCCCAGCCCCCAGCTCTGTACACCACCCCTCACTCACCAGGTAGGTAGCGTCCCGCCTGCCGCATGCACCACACCGGGGTGTGCTCCGTCTCCTCACCGCGTGCCGCACGCAGGAACGTGTCATTCTTCAGCTTGGGGAAGCCCTTGGGGCTGCAGGAGGGACAGCAGACAGGGCTCGTCATCATGAAGGGCGCTGGGCACCCCAGAAGGTCCCTGGGGCAGGGCCGGTGGCTCCCCATCCAACGGCTGCAGGGAAGAGTTTGCTCCAAGCTGGGACCATGGTGACAAACGCTGCCTCTGTCACCCGCCAGGGCCTCTTCCGGGGCAGCAGGGCCCTGCTAGGGGACAGGCGATGCCTGGCCCGGGGCTCTGTGAGATTACGTTATCACTAGCAGCAGCTGCTCCCGTAGGGGGAGGCTGGGGGCCTGCAGGGCCCGGCGCTATCTGGGCTCACACGCCACACGTCCCCAGCCCGCTCCTGAGCTGGGCCCCAAGGAGGGGACGCACGTGGGGGTCGTACAGGGCTCAGCCCTGCCGCGATGGGAGGCAGCCAGAGGACAGACCCCAACACCTCCAGAGCGAGGCCGCAGCGGTGCTGGGATCAGCGCCCTCAGGGCCGCCCCGGGTGTCTCCAGCTCGGTGCCGCAGCACGGCGCTCAGGGTCGCTGATCCCGGTGCCACCCCTCTGTCCGCAGCGCGGGATCGCAGTGCCGCGCACAGCTGACCGCGCGAGGAACCCCGGGGCTACCCCGGTGACAGGCGCCCGAGCCCCACGCGCAGGCACCACGGGGTAACCCCGCGCCCGGTAACTTACAGGAGCCGCTCGCCGCCGTCCATTCCGCGTCGCTTCCCGCCCCGCCCTCGGCCCCGCCCCGCCTCGCCCCGCCCCGCGGTCGCCGCCATCTCACCGTAACCCCACCCCTCCGTACGCCGCACGGGCGCCGCCATCTTGCCCCGCCCTCATCCCTCCGTGCGCCGCCATCTTGCTTCGCTCCCCGCTTTTCCGTACAGTTCGTGGGCGCCGCCATCTTGCCCGCGGGCGCCGCCATCTTGCCTCGGCGACGGGCGGGGTTTGCCGTAAAGCCGCGAGTACCGACCACCCCCCCACCTTCCCTCACTCCTGACGCCGGTGCGCGGCTCGGAGGTGCGGAGCGCGATGCGGGCGGGCGGAGAGGCTCCGCACCAGGTGCTGGGCCGGCTGCGGTTCCTGCTGCAGTGCAGCGAGTGCTTCCGCAGCGCCCGGCCGCTGCCCGCCGCGCTGTGCTACGTGCCCCGCGAGGTGCAGTACAAGATCTGCAAGGACCCCGCGGCCGCCGCCTCGTCCCGCAGCCTGCTCAGCGTCTGGGACGGCCCCGGGCCGGCGCGGGGCTCCAAGCGGGCGGCGCGAGCCACCATCGAGGTGCGGAAGGGCGGCTGCCTCCGCGCTACGGGCGAGGAGTACTGCAACGGCGCGGGGCTGTGGGTGAAGCTCAGCAAGGTAACGGCCCCGCGCTGCGTGGCGGGGCGCCGGGCCGAACGCGGGGCGGAGGGCGGCTTGGGGCCCGCGGTGGCTGCGGAGGGGCCCGGCGCCCGGAGCTAGGGTGGAGGGCCGACCCCTGTCGGCGCCTCGCTTCCCCCGCCGCCTCCGGTTGTCCTCCGGCCGCCTCCCTCCCTGCATCGTCGCTCCTATCGCCGCCCCGTGCCCCCGTCCCTCCCGGGCGCAGGCCTTGGCGACGCCGTGAGGCCCGGGGCCCTGCGTGTGGGTTCGTTCCCGTGGAATCGTGCTGTCATTCAGGATGGAAACGATCTCTGAGATCTCCCAGTCCGACCCCACCCCTGCATGCCCAGTGAGCGCATCCCCGCGGTTGTGGAACACCTCTGGGTACGGTGACCCCATCACCTCCCTGTGCAGCTGTGCCGCTGCATCGCTGCTCTTTAAGAGCAGAAATTGTTCTTAATATCCAGCCTGAACCTTTCCTGGGGAGACTTAAGGCTACTGCCTTTCATCTAATTGCTGTTACCTGGCAGGAGAGCCCAACCTCCGCCTTACCACAACCTCCTTCAAGGAGTTGTAGAGATCCAGGGGTTCCTTACAGGATCTATTTTCCCCTACAGGAGCAGCTGGAAGAGTACAAGAGCGGCTGTGATCTGGAGGAAGGCTGGGTCCTGGTGTGTAAGCATGCAGAAGGAGGGGACAGGCTGGTCCCAGTTGAGTCCACAGAGAGGATCCAGAGGCAGCAGCAGTTGTTTGGGGTTGATTACAAACCTGTGATCAGGTATGGGGTTGTGGCTCACATCTACCCTTCCACATAGGTTGTGGAAAGTGATATGATTCCCAGGCTGCTTTATAAGCACGTGTCTAGCATCTTGCATTCCTTGTAGCTGGGAAAGGTGCAATACGCAGGAAACCTCAAAATCTGTCTCCAGAGTCTGACTTAGTCTGACTTAGAAAAGAAATCAAGGTTTTGCTGCCTACAGTGAGAAGCTGGAGAAGCCTTAAACCTGAGATCCCTATTTTAGAGCCTTGAGCTTATTTGTAATCTGAGCCTACTGTCTTTATTTGATGTCGGTTCCTTGCACGTGTGAGAGCAGAGAAGTTCTCATCTGCTCATATTGTGCTGCTTGAGATTTTGATGTATTTTCCCTCGGTTCTTTGTGTTCTGGACTGAAAAGTCCCAGCCTGCTTGGCCGTTTCTTGTATTAAAGTGACGCAATAGGGAACGCAGACATGGAGTTACTCAGTTCTGCTTGGTCATTTTCACCAATGCAGCTGGGGCTATTGACTGGAAGAAGTAAAGACTGCCTGAACAGAACAGGCGTGTGATAAGGATATGATGGAGGATGAAATGTGGTGTGGCTTTAAACCCGAATCTTCCCCTTCCAGCTACTTTTCGAGTACCTGCTTTTTTTCCCCTGGGATTCTCTCATTCCATCTTGTTTCAGGTGGGAGCAAGTGGTGGATCTGACTTACTCCCTGCGCCTGGGAGCAAAACCCAAGCCCATGGACCAGGATGAAGCTGCAGTAGAGAAGCTTCGGTAGGAGCTGTTTCATGGTGTCTGCACACTTCAGCTGTGGGTGGGTACAAGCTGCTTTCTCTCCCTTGCTGCTCAGACAGCCATCTCTTGTAAACTGGGGTGTGGAGCAAGACAGGCAGTGGAGAAGCTGAGCTCTGCTTAACACAGTCTTGTCCTAGATAAGTCAGCATGAACCAGAAAACAAGATGAAGATCAAGGCAGACATGGGCCTACCCATGTCCTGACCCATTCACCTGGCAGGGTTTGATACAGCCTTGCTGTCCCTGGGTCTCTAAGATCATTAACCTCTTTGTCCTGGTAGGTTTGTGCCTCCAACATGGACTTATGAATGCGATGAAGACCTAGTGCATTTCTTGTATGATCATATTGGGAAGGAGGATGAGAACTTGGGCAGCGTCAAGCAGTATGTGGACAGTATTGATGTCTCTTCCTACACGGTGAGCAGTTTGTAGGGTAAAGGGACAGGGCTTGATCAACCCTGCTGTGCCATGGGGCTGGGGAGTGTGCGTAGTGGGTGTGCTGTCCTTCTCTGGGATGGGCTGGTCTGTGTTATGTGGATGTGGGGGATAAGGTGGAGTCTTGGAAGGGGAATGCAGCCCCTGGATGAACTGTGCAAGCTGTGGTCTGATAAGTAAATACTAATGCTAGCTGCTAAGCTGATTTTAGGGAGAGTTTCATGCTCTTGTGCGTGTGACATCACAGCACCTTAGCAGGCCAGCCCCAATGTTTTGTGCTGTCTGTGCTCCCCGTGTCTACCCTGAGGCCAGCAAATAGGAACGGGCCAGTTTGATACCCTCTGGCTCTATGATTCATGACAAAAGTAGCCACTAAGGAGAAACAATCCTATCCCTCTCTGACTTTCTCCTCATTCACCGTCCTTTTCCAGGAAGACTTCAATGTGTCGTGTCTGACGGACAGCCATGCTGACACGTACTGGGAGAGCGATGGGTCGCAGGGCCAGCACTGGGTGCGGCTCAACATGAAGAAAGGCACCATTGTCAAGTGAGGCATCTCTCCCCTGTGTGCTGGCTCACTGCTGGGATGGGCACTGCAGCCCCTGCGCTGTGCATGAGTCCATCGTGGTGGCCCTAGGTTACTGTGCCCTCCCTGCTCCTCGTCCTGTGCTCTGGCTGTGGGTTTGAGCAGCTCTTAGCCAGTGTTGTCACAGGTTCCTAGGGTTCTCAGTGCCATCTGCATGTGCTTGGTACAGGTGTGGCCAGGCCGTGAGGGAGGAGCAGTGGTAGTTGTTCAGAAGCAGAGCTCTCTCTTCATTTCTTGTTTCCTTTTGCAGGAAGCTCCTGCTGACTGTTGATACCACTGATGAGAACTTCATGCCCAAGCGCGTCGCCGTGTACGGGGGTGAGGGGGACAATCTGAAGAAACTGAACGATGTTGGCATTGATGAGTGAGTGGATGGAGGTGGGAAGTGTAGTGTGGCCCTTCCGAGGGCTTGAGGCACTGGGCATCCCAACTACAGGTTGTCACGCCAACTGCAGCCTCATTTTAGCGGCTCAGGGCCTTGGGAGAGGCATTTTCCATCTCTCCAGTCTAACACTTTGAAACCCCATTCCCAGTTCCTGCAATCCTGGCCTTTCAGATGGGGGGACTTGCTGACGGTTAGCAACTGGCACGGCTGGGTTAATTCAGAGAGCTGTGCTGTCTTATTGAACAAGACATTGCCTACGCCTGAGGTAACAGGAGGTTTGGATATTCGTGTGAGCTGTGTGGCACTGCTGGTCTGGGTTTCTCCTGCAGCCTCCCGTTCTAAAGGATGCAACTTTTTCCTTACAAGCAGCCGAATGAATTTTGACAGGTTGGGCAAGGGAACAGCTCTGCAGCCTCTGTCTGTGCTGTGCTTGCAGGAGTTACATTGGGGATGTGTGCGTCCTTGAGGACATGACAACACACCTGCCTGTCATCGAGATCCGGATTGTGGAGTGCAGAGGTAGGGCTAGGAGTTATGGCCACATCTATAATGCACCTGTGAGATACTGTACAGTGAGCTTATTTCTGCAGCTTGTCCTTGGCCAAGTACTCCAGGGCAACTTGAGGATTTGCAAGCCTTGTGCTTTCAGCCTGTTTTTCTTTTCCTTGCCTCTGATTTTGTTGTTTTTTTTTTTTTCCTCTTCTTTAAATTCCTCATTTCCGCACAAAGGTCTTTCAAACTCAGTGCTCAGCCCCAGAGCTGGTGAAGCTCGTCATGCTCCTAGTGCTTCTACTTGGAGATGGTACTGACGTGCTGCAGCTGGAAGGCTTACTTTCTTGTAGGCTTAGCGTATTATCTGTGGTCTTCCTTTGGCAGATGATGGGATTGATGTTCGCCTTCGTGGCATCAAAATCAAATCCTCCCGACAGAGGGACTTGGGGCTCAGTGCCGACATGTTCCAGCTGGCCAATTTAGTACGCTACCCCCGCCTGGAAGGGACAGACCCTGACCTGCTGTACCGGAGGGCAGTGCTCATTCAGAGGTACTGTATGGGAGCGCAGGGGGCGTACGGTGGGGTGGTGCTGTCTGCAGTGATTGGTGCCCTCTGCAGTGCAAGTTAAGGCTGGGAGCTCAAAGCTCAGGGACTCCACCTGGAATGGGCATCCTGGGCCTTGGAGAAAATAGCAGAGGTTTTCTTGGGTAGCTTCCATACGTTTTTAAGAGGACTCTTGCAGCTCAAGTGCAACGTTCTGTGTGTTGCAGGTGCAGCATATCTGTGTTGTGGGGGAAATAGGGGGGCAGATGCACACAGAATCCCTTGCAAGGGGTGTGTAGTTGCTGCAATGGGAATTTAGTGCTACAGGCTCTGAGATTTAAAACATCAGTGACTTGTATTTGGATCAGTTGTTACTTTTCTGTTTGTGTCTGGAGTGCCTGGCCTGGAATAGGTTTGTGAAGGTCCCTTTCCCTTCAGGGTGTTGCAGTACCTTCTTCTTTGGGATTTAGGTTCATCAAGCTCCTGGATAGTGTCTTGCATCACTTGGTGCCAGCCTGGGACCACACTGTAGGCACATTCAGCAAACTCAAGGTGAGTTCCTCTGTGTCTTGTGAGGCCTCCATGAGGCAGAGCGATTGCACTTGGGCTGTGGCGAGGGAGACAGGCAGCGTTTGTTGCTTTTAAAGCAGCTCAAGGGAAATACCTGGCTGAGCTCCTTTCATTAAAGCTGTGAAAGGCGATATTGTTTTGAGACTGTTTTCCTGCTAGAACACTGATGTGGAAATGTTGTAGCTATGCAGTGAAAAGAAGAATGAAACCAAGGCTCTGGGGGTGAGAGCACATCACCCAAAAAAGGACTCAGAGCGTAGCTGCACTGGGTGTGTGAGCTGGGCATACGTCCCCTCGTAGATCCCAGCCCAGCACACTCTGTTCCCGCACTTGCTGCCAGCAGTTTTGAACTGGCTGTGTCTGGATGGCAGGGCTTCTTACCAGTAACTACTTTCTGGCTTTTGATTCGTGTCTTTCTCGTAAGACTCAATCATCCTTCCAGTTGTCTGTTTTCCTCACATTCTCTCTCAGAATGTGCCGGGCACTGCTAGGGTAGTCCAACTGTGTGTGCTTCCAGGCCTAGTGCTTTAGAACACTGTAATCCCTGTGCCAGCTTAGCCTAAAACCCAGAGTGTTTAAGGATTCTTGTTTGTCTAGCAGAGCTTGGTTTCATTACAAGTAGGAGGAATAGTAAGACTCTTGTTCTGGTGAAAGTGAGGGAGAGTCCAAGCAACATTAGAGTGTGAGTATCAGATGACTGCTGATGGAGGGAGAATTGGGCTCGGTCTGTCTCTTAAGCCAGAAAGGAAAGTCTTTGGAGACAGAAGATCAGCTAGAGAAAATACTGTTGAGGAGAAAGTGGCTGTGTGTGGGAGGTTGTGGTTCTGGGGAGAACCTAGGAAGTAGGTAATGTGCTTTGGGCGCTGGACACTTCTGACGTTTAGAACTTACCTGTTGGCAGCATATCAAGCAGTTCTTGTTGCTGTCCAAGAGGCGCACGGCTCTCATTACACAGTGTCTGAAGGATTCAGAGACAAGCAAGCCCAACTTCATGCCACGGCTCTACATCAACCGACGTCTGGCTATGGAGCACCGAGACAACCCTGCCTTGGATCCCAGCTGCAAGAATGCTGTCTTCACTCAGGTATTTCTCCTCCTGGAGAGGAGCTCATGCTTTGAGGAGAGTGGAGCATCCTGAAACCAAAATGAACCAGGGGGAGGTGGGTGGAGGGAAGAGCTTGGGAGCTAGAGTTACCTGGTGACTTCAGGTCTTCTTTATGTGACTCCTAGGCTCTACAATTACATGTGCTGATGATCTCTTATCCAGGAATATCTGAATATCAGAGCTGATGTCTTTGTTCTGTATTAGGCTTTGTTGTTGACATGTTGCTAATGCAGAACATAATGATCTTATTGCACTGAAAGGACAGTAGACACTTCTGTGACAATAATAATGCAGCTGCACACAGTCCTGTGGTATTACAGCAATTCTAATATTCCTCTTGTAGTTCTCCCTCTGCCTCCAAAAGATCTATTGCTCAATGTGTGCACAAACAGTTTTCAGTGTGCAAATGCATTCAGTGTACCTCTGAAGCTAGGAAGCTGCAAGTGGTGTAAAATACTGTAATTATGTCATGTTTTCAAAAGTGAAGGGCCCCTAGGCCTCTTAGGGATCAGCTTCAGTCAATATTTAAGGGTTTGAAACAAACGAGATTCCTTCCAATTTCCAGTCTTCACTTGGCACCATTTCTTCTGGAGAGGGGATACCAGCTTTGATCTCTACTTGTTGCAGGTGTATGAAGGCCTGAAGCCCTCTGACAAGTTTGAAAAGCCTCTAGATTATAGGTAAGCCACATTGGGTGTAGGGAGGGGATCATGCAGTACTGGGAGCATGTCCTCTTTAACAGCAGGGTGTTTGGCAAGCACCTGTGTGCCCTTTGTGCCCTCTGGAGAGGGTTTGCTAGGTCAGGAGCCAGCTCAGACATGGGATGAGGGCCTGTTCTCCCAAGGTGTTTCCTCCCTTCTGAGATTGCTGACTTGAGACTGAGGTTGTCTTAAGCCCAGGCTGCTATGCCCTATGCCTCTGGCTTCCTTGCTCTGCCTGCTGCCTCCTCAGTTTCTCCTTGGATCTGAGTGCACAGAGCACCCCCAGCAATTCAAGCCTGCCTGGTTTTCTACAGGTGGCCGCTGCGTTACGACCAGTGGTGGGAGTGCAAATTCATCGCAGAGGGAATCATTGACCAAGGTAGGGGATGTGTGGGCAAAGGGGCAGACTTGGGCAAAGGGGCAGACTTGGAGGTTGACGGTGCAGTTGTTGCTGCAGGGGCTCTCATTTGCTCCTGGTGTTATTGCTGCTGGAGGAGAAAGGGAAGGCAGGTCACCTTGTCCTGCCACCCTCTGCAGTGCTGTGCGTGAGGAGTACTGCGTGCTGACACTGGTGTCAGACCTCCATTAGTCACTAGCAGCAGCTTTGACAGTGGCTGTCCTGCATGGGCCAGGCAGTGGTGTTACTTCTATTGTCTTGTTTCCCCTGGTGCCTTAGGGCTGTGACAGGAGTCTGCTATTTAGCTCTGGACTTTGTTGGATCAAAACCCCTAATCTTGCTTCTGTGCTCCTGAGAGTCAGCACACAAGCAGTTTTATCACTAAAAATGCCATTCTTCTGGGATTGCAGGTGGTGGTTTTCGGGACAGCCTGGCAGACATGTCGGAGGAGCTGTGTCCCAGCTCAGCAGACACTCCTGTGCCCCTGCCCTTCTTTGTGCGCACATCTAACCAGGTGCTGTGGATTGGGATGCTTGAGGCAGAAAGTGGAAAGTGCCCAAAATTGTGCCTGACAAAGCAGAACTGTTCGTATCCCCCTTCATGCCTGAGATGTATATCTTTGCTAGTCCAAAGCCTATTCTCATTAACTACAAAAGACTGAATATGTTGCTTTGTGACATCTGGTTTTAGGACAAGTTGATAAGTGCCTTACTAGGAACATTGCCACGGAGATTGTGGGGTTTAGCCCTCTTCTGTTGTGGAAAATTCCTAGTGTCACTGCAAGAGCTGCTTGTAGTGCTTCATGCTGGGCTGAGTGTTGACCCTTATGCTTGTAGGGTAACAGCACTGGAGAAGCCAGGGACATGTATGTCCCCAACCCCTCCTGTAAAGACTTCCCAAAGTATGAGTGGATTGGACAGATCATGGGAGCAGCTCTGAGGGGCAAGGAGTTTCTGGTGAGTTTTAAACCCCATCTGTGTGGAGGTTTGCCACAAAGGGAATTGCTAGTCTTCTTGTGCCACTTGTTCAGCAGGAACATGGGAAGGTCCCTGTGATCATGCACTGGGACAAAAAGTGTCTGTCAGGGTTTGGGGCTGAGAGCTCACAGCCTGAATTTGGTGAGATGCTGCAGAGAACCTGAGGGAGGGGGTCTTGTCTCTGCTCAGTTCTGTGTAGGCCAAGGTACCTGATGAGCACTGCATGTAGATAGGGAATGTGATGGAACCTCCACCGTGGTTGAACCCCATCTCTATGCTTGAGGCTATCTCCTTTCTCACAAACTCAGCAGAACTGCCGTTCTCCTTCAGGTCTTGGCTCTTCCTGGCTTTGTATGGAAACAATTAACAGGGGAGGAGGTCAGCTGGAGCAAAGACTTTGCTGCGGTGGACTCGGTGCTGGTGAGAGGCTGGTGAAAGGCTGTGCCTATGTCTATTCCGTGTGACACTCTGCAAGCCTGTGATTTGTGTACTTGTTCCTGTGTTGTACTTGCATTTTCCAGTGATGCGTTGACGAAAAATGCACAGAGAGGGCATTATTAGCATTTAATACATCTCACAGCTGATACAGACAAAGCAGTGCTGACTCGCTTTCAGCACACACAATGCCCCAAGGTCTGCTAAAGCAGCAAGTGCAGCTGTAGGGCAGCATATCTCATGCTGCATTATTGTCTCAGTCATTCTAGCCCCTGTCTGGGGAAAGCAGATGATGAGGGACCAGGTATATTTCTGCCCACTGGGCATCTCTCTAACAAGCACTCATCTGGGCAGGTGAAACTCCTGGAGGTGATGGAAGTGATGGACAAAGACACTTTTGAGTTCAAATTTGGGAATGAGCTGACCTACACAACAGTGCTGAGTGACCAGCGCATGGTGGAGCTGATTCCCAATGGCAGCAACACCGTGGTCCGTTATGAGGACCGTAAGGAGTTCATCCATCTGGTACAGAAAGCTCGACTGGAGGAGAGCAAGGAGCAGGTAATGCTCTTCCATAGTGTGAGTGGCCACTGAATTTCCAGAGACAGCCAGTATGTGTAGTGCTTAATGTCCCTGTGCTCGTTAGTGCAATAGCACACAGTCCTTTAGGGTGGTGGATGGCAACATAAGAAACAGAATTTTATTCCCAGCTCCAATACAGGCTTCCTAATTGAACTGGAATGTGTTTCTTTGGGATCCTATTCCCCTTTGCTGGTCCCATGGAGCATGGGAGCAGTCACTTGGCTTCAGTTCAGTAGCACTTGGGCTCAACCCTGAACCAGGAAAGTAGGCAAGACACGCTGCTCACCTGCCTTGCTTCTTTTTCAGATCATGGCTATGCAAGCTGGGCTGTTGAAGGTAGTACCCCAAGCTGTTCTTGACCTCCTCACTTGGCAGGAGCTGGAAAAGAAAGTCTGTGGAGACCCTGAAGTCACAGTTGATGCCCTGAAGAAACTCAGTAAGTGAAGGCCCTCTGCTGAAAGCTCATTCCCTGAAAGCAGAATGACTGTCTTCCTTCCCATGCTGGGCCAAGGGGGCTGTGGGAGGCACATAGTAGCTTTTACTATGATGACAGAGTGGGTCTGTGCCCTTAGTTGAGTGCTAACAGGATCAGGAAGGGTCCATGGATATGCACGGGATGCCGTGCTCTAATTTGTCCAGGAGGAGCTGAGATCTCTAAAACTCCTTTTCTGTATCCTCTGGCAGCTCGCTTTGAGGACTTTGAGCCACTGGACACCCGCGTTCAGTACTTCTGGGAAGCACTCAACAACTTCACCAATGGTGAGTGATTTGCTCTGCCACTGCACATCTCCTCATGCTGTGACAACCAGGCTTCACAACCCCTAAGTGCTGGCTGGGAACTGAGGGATTGAAACCACCCTCGTTGCTGCCCGGGGAACAGATGGGAGCCAAGCAGAGCAAGCTGCTGGGACAAAGGAGATACCTGCAAGTGGCTGTGCTTGATCTCATATTGCCCTGGCATCTGTTGATACCTTTGTTCTCCCTTCACAGAGGATCGCAGTCGCTTTCTCAGGTTTGTTACTGGCAGAAGCCGCCTCCCAGCACGGATCTACATCTATCCTGACAAACTAGGGTGAGTCTGTTTCTTTTTCAGACTGCAAGGCTAATGGACCAAACGAATCTGTGGTCTGCTCTTTTCTTCCTTGTTGGTTTGTTGATTCTAACTAGTTTGTCACCTTTCCTCAAGCTCTGAGACAACAGATGCATTGCCAGAGTCATCCACCTGCTCCAGTACCCTCTTTTTGCCCAACTATGCCACGTAAGTGTTGCAGCTTCTCTGCCACTGGGGGATTCTGTGTCTGGGCTCTCAGCCTCTATGCTGACCCACAGAGCCCCATTGCTTTACCATGCAACAGCGTCATGTGGCTACTGTGATTTTTTTTTTTTTATTTTTTTATTTTTTTTGAGCAGCTTTTGAAGCATAGCCTTCATCTTGTCATCTCAGATGCAGAAAAGGCAACTCCTTCTTGTCTTTTTTTTTTTTTTTTTTCTTTCCCCTCATCCCTCCCTAGAGCCAAGGTATGTGAAGAGAAGTTACGCTATGCGGCCTACAACTGCGTGGCCATTGACACAGACATGAGTCCATGGGAGGAGTGATGTTGCAGCCTGACCAAGCAGCATGGACAATCACTTGACAAAACCATACAATGGGAAGAGCTCCCTTGTTCCCCCGGGTTATGTGTATATATAATAAACATCTAGGTCTGAAGCCTGGCTTCCTGCAGTGGTAACCAGTACCACTTTGGACACAGACATTTGGAACTGGCTTGGAGTGTAAATGTTATTGCAGTAATGAAACCCTGTTCCCAGCCCTCATTCATCAGAAAGGCCGGGTAGGCTTCATGCAATGAGTTTCTTTTCCCAGTGTTCCCATTGCAGCTCCATAACTTACTCTTGCTCTTCCCAGGCTGTGCTGTGCTCTGCTCCAAACAGAAGTGGGTAGGGCTACAGAGTTGCATGGCAGGTTGTGGTATGGGACAAAGAACTGTGAGCTGCAGCTGAGAGCATTTGGTGTACAGAGGTCACTGTGCCCTAGCCCAAGTGTCCTGACTGCATTCCTTTGCTTTGTTCCTGCTTTCCCATGAGGTCATGGACATGAGATCATTCATCTAGGCTTGAGAAGTGAAGCAGACCGGTGGTGGGTGCTGCAGGGGTGCCTTTGGCCACCAGGTGTCACGACAGGCTTGCACAGTGAGAATGTGGGTGCTGTGGGGTGCTATTATGTCACACAGAACCTGTCACCACCCGTGGTTCTCTGCACCATTGCACAGCAGCAACTGCTGGGGGAGCTGCTCCCCTGCAGGAGATGGGAATGATTTGCTTTTCTCCCTCTCTATAGTCTTCTGATTCTGCATTCTGCCCAGGGCATGCTGGTAGCCTAGCAGCTGTTCTCCCAGGCTCTTTGAGCCTAAAAGCCTGTGTTACAATTAATCTGTTACGGTTCTCATGGAGATGTGCAGGCAGGGCCAAGCTCTTCCAGACAGCAGAGGTGGAAGCAGTATCAGGCAGAGCAGCACGGGCCTCTGCTCCTGTCTGCCATGGGAGGAGAGGTGTAGGTGTGGGGGGAGACAGCCTTCACCCCAGGAAGAAGAAGAGAAGCTCTGTGTGTTTCTGAGTTTGGAGCAGGTCAGTATGTGACCAGGCAGTGGGCAATGAAAGCTTTACGACATCAAACCGTTCTTGGATTTTTGCAGCCCTGTGCAGGACTGGTGCTTGCCACTGTGAGCTGCCCATGACAGTCTGCTTTTACACCCCAGCTTCATCTTCAGTCTGAGAGCTGCTGGTCCATCGCTACTGAGAGCCACTGAGTCACTTGTGCTGGAGTGGGGCCAGTGCTGTGAGTTAGGATTTATCGTGTCTGAGCACATCATGCCTTACTCCCTTCTGTTGGAATCTGTCATTCAGAAATTGCTCCTGGTTGTAAATGAAGTCATTCCACTTACCAGTTTTCTTGGAAACTGCCATTATTCCCAGAACTGCTGAGGGGCTGCACTGAAAGGAATGTAGGATCAGCAGAGCCCAGGCTTGAGGTCTCCTTGCATTGCGGTGAGTGGAAAGAGCATAGGGTGAGTAGGAAATTCCCTTTTGGCAGCCCTGGCCTGTGGCAGAGCCTTCCACACATGATGTGCTGGGTGCTAAGCCCTGTCTGCTGGAGGGGTTTTTTTGTAAATCCTAGAGTTATCTCAAAACTGAGCTCTATGACTTTGCAGCTGATTGCAGCAGTAAAGTATGCACAGGGACGGGGCAGTGTGTGATACCCTTCTGCTTTGGTGGCTGAGTCACAGCCCAGCGTGTTTGCTTTTAAGTCATCATGAGTGAGCTGGTGGAAAGGCTCTGACCTGCTGCCTTGGCCGCGGGCAGGAATGCTGGAGAAGAAATCTTCAGCATCACACTAGGAGAGCAGCAGGGTGAGATGGGGTTTGAAGTGGGCCATCCTCAGTCCTTTCTGGATGCTGATGGGGTGGAATCCATGCTGCTTTCTCTGACTTTGCCTGCTTAGCAGTGAGAGAGGCCAGCAGGAGGGTGGGTCGTTTACCTAGGGAACTTGAAGAAGGAAAGGTGAACTCTAGTACTTTATTGCAGGGTGTGGACAGGTGCATCTTGGTTTTTATTTTGGAGGACTTGACAGTGAGGTGACATCTGTGGGGATGGTGAGGCCCTGTGGTATGGCAGTGTGCCCATTACAGCAGGAGGCCAGGGGCACTTTCATGAGTAGCACAGAGAGCTGTGAGCAGGAGCCAGAGCCAGTGCGTTCCCCTTCTATTGCTGAGACTGGATTTGGTTGAGGTCGGTGTTTGGGCCAGGAACATCCTGAGATGTTACTGGGCAGAGGCTATGTCTACAGCTGGTTAATAGGTGTGCAGGGAAGAAAGAGCAGGGGGGATCAGTGCTGTGACATCTCTGAGGAACCCTTCTCTTCCCCCAGATTTCAGCTTGCTGAATTGTCCTAGGATAGCTTCAGGTGATTAATACGCACGTGTAGACTAGCTGTTCTTGTTCTTCCACTGCTACCCTGAAGTATGACAAGCTATAAATAAGCAGATGGGAGCTGTCTGTCCCTACTAAAATAAAATGAACTAACCAACCCCTGGTGCTGCTTCTATTGATGTGTCTGCTGAGGGATCTGTGTAGTGCTGTTGTGTTATACGGTGCTGGAGAGGGATGTCATGAGCTGGAAGAGAAGCAGATTGTGGTCCTGGGGCCAGAAGAGCCCGGCCCTGGGGCAGCTGCTATTGGGTGACGCCCCAGGGCTGATGTTATCGCAGGCAGGGATGGAGCTGGACTATGCCCTGCTGTGATAGTAGGCAGCTCAGGGAGAGACCTTTGAGCTCTGCCAGCCTGTGCTGAACGCAGATGTTGTGTGCCCAGCCCAGGGAGCTCCGTGCAGGGTGGGGCTGATAGCTCCCACCACCTCACCCCGGTATGTGACAAGCGCCTGAACCACGATGTGAATCATCGCGAGGTGACCGAGTTCAGAGTTACAGGTGCCCCGGGGCGGGTTTCCGTGGTACGAGCCTCCGTGGGCAGCGCCGTGCCCACCCCTTACTTTCCCCTGTAGCGTGACCCCAGCAGCCTCTCTTCCCCGACGAGACGGAGCTTTTCCCGGCGTCCGGCCTGCTTGTGGGGCTCGGGGCCGGGCGGTGCGGGGGCGACGGGAGGAACGCGGCCGCTTCCCGGCACGGCGGCCGCGGGTGGGGCGATGACGGCGGCCCCGGGGACCGGAGGCGGAGCCGAGGGCGGCAGCGGGCGGAGGCGGCGGCGGCGGCCGGGGTTCCCGGAGCCGGGCGGAGGGGGCGTCGCGGTGCGGGAGCTGTGCGGTGCGGGGCTCGGAGGTGCGGAGCGCGATGCGGGCGGGCGGAGAGGCTCCGCACCAGGTGCTGGGCCGGCTGCGGTTCCTGCTGCAGTGCAGCGAGTGCTTCCGCCGCTCCCGGCCGCTGCCCGCCGCGCTGTGCTACGTGCCCCGCGAGGTGCAGTACAAGATCTGCAAGGACCCCGCGGCCGCCGCCTCGTCCCGCAGCCTGCTCAGCGTCTGGGACCGCCCCGGGCCGGCGCGGGGCTCCAAGCGGGCCACCATCGAGGTGCAGAAGGGCGGCTGCCTCCGCGCTACGGGCGAGGAGTACCGAAACAGCGCGGGTCTGTGGGTGAAGCTCCGCAAGGTAACGGCTGGGCGCCGGCCGGGGGCACTGCCGTCGGTTCCGTGCCCGCTTCGGGGCCGGGGTGTGTCACTTCGGGCCGGGTGTGCTTTAGGAGCACCTGGAGGAGAACGGGGTCTGTCATGAGCTGGAGGAGGGCTGGGTCCTGGCGCAGCGGTTTGGAGATGGGGGAGATAAGTTGGTGCCGGTGGATCCGGTGGAGAAGATCCAGCAGCGACACCAGACCTTTGGAACGGATTACAAACCTGTGGCTAGGTAAGGCCCACACAGCTGCATCCCGCTGCCATGCAGTGAGACCTAGAGAGGGACCCAACCATTCCAACCCCTTGGCTCCCCCAGACAGCCATCCCTGCTATCCCATTAGTCTATGGAGTGACACCAGTCCTCCCAGTGCTGTTCCCACAGCCCTTGGGCACTGCTGGCACCTCTACACCAGGCTAAGGCAGGAATCGCGTAGGTAAACCAAGCACTGACCCTCCATTTTCTTTTACATGATCCCTTCATTTAGCTGGGAACAAGTGGTGGACCTGACATACACCATGCAGTTGGGAGAGAAGCCTGTGTCAGTCGAGCCGGACGAGGCTGTGGAGCAGAAGCATCGGTACAAGCACAGCTCGCGGAGTGGTACCACAGTGCCCTGGGGGAGAACATGTCTGCAGGGCTGGGAGGGCGGGTGATGGCTGATGCCTTCTGCATCAGTGCCACCCCGCGATGGCCTTTGCTCCAGGGCCTGTTGGAGCAACTGCGTAGTACTATTCCTGCTGGGCTGGGGTGGCCATAAACACCTGGCATAGTAGTGGAGATGCAGCTGCTTGGGGCCATCCTGCGTGCTGACAGCAGGATGCTGGGGCTGCCTTGATTTGGGCCACGGCGCTGATGGGTGGGTTTGGGGCACAGTGTGGTCTTCTCATTCTGTTAGCACGGATTCCCCATAGGTCGATGCCTCCAAATTGGAGCTATGAGCGGGACATGGAGCTGGGGCGCTTCCTGTATGACATCACCGAGAGGGATCAACACTGCAAGGACTGCTTTATGGACCACCTCAACAGCATAGAGGTCTCCTCACAGCTGGTGCGTTGTGGGGCTCCATTGTCCCCTACACTCTGCTGTGGCACAGTTTGCCCAAGCATCCCACAGCTGCAGGGAGAATCACCTCCATGAGAGGAAGGGACAGTGGTGGTCTCTGCAGTTTTAATGAAGCTGCCAGGAGATGGGCATCTGCAGAGAAACCATCCTGGGCATGGCTGTGGTTTGCCCAAAGGTGCTCAGCTTCCTCCCTCTGCTCGTTGCGCTCTTCCAGGATGACTTCAAAGTAACCTACCTGACAGACAACCAGGGAGAAACCTACTGGGAGAGCAGCGGGTCCCCTGGGCAGCACTGGGTGCGGCTCCACATGAAAAAAGGCAGCGTCATCAAGTGAGACCTGAGGATGTCCCTTCCCTGGTGGTGGTTGTGGCAGGGACATAGTCTTCTTCTCGAGCGCAGCTTTTCCTGGGCTGCAGCTCGAGATGGAGGCTCCTGGAGGACACAGCCCCTGGGACGCCTCTGGGGGCATCTCTGAGCAGATCGGGATGGGAGGACAATGCTGCATCGTGCTCTTGTCCCCAGGAAGCTGTGGCTGATGCTGAACACATGCATCAACTC